TACCTGTGTTCGGTCAGATTCGGTTCGGCTAGCCCTCCAACTGCTCTCTAGGCGTCTTTTCCGGCGTTTCATCTCTCTCAGCTCCTCCGTAAACCAAGGAGCCAGTTGAGATCTACGCCGGGTCAGAGGCCGCAAAGGCACGACTCGGTCCAGTGCCGCGGCAGCGGCTGCTTCCCAAGCCGCCGCCTGATTTTCCGCCAAGTCGTGAAATGTTAAGCTAGCAACATTAATTATTAATACAAGTAATAAAGATAGCTGGTCTTTATTTCTTAAAAAGAAAATCAAATGCTCCAGATACAGAGCCAGGTTTTTTACCACTTACTTGTCCTTGACTTCAAAACGTTTGTGAAGCCATCTTCTCATAAACATTTGTTCTGCTGGAATGTCTTTTAGCTCAATTCGTTCAATATTGATATGAATTCTTGGGCACTCCTTACAAAGAAAGTCTAAAATCCAGAAGAATATTATAAATACTTTTGTTATAATATGATTAATTTCAATTATTTGTACAATTAAAAGTTCACTCTGGATATTTAAACTCTGATTTTTTTTCTTTGAAAGTTTTATTAATTTTTAAGAATTACAGTGTTTAGAGCTTAGTAAACAACATGTTGTCTTGGTTCACATATTTAACATTAACTTCTTCAATATAAGAAGTTTCTTCAATATTCACTACTGCACAATCGAGTATTTTTTCCCCTGATCCTCCTTTCTTTCCCATATTTTTTCCATTTCCCCCTCATTACACAATTACAATTCTTGGAACTAGTGATGTATAAGAGTTAGATATAAACATCTTCATCATATTTTACTAATATTATACAAATAACAATAATATCAATGTGTTAATCAATATCCTGTTTTTGTGCTCTTCTTAAGGTTTAATTTTCCATCAATATTTAAAGTATCTTTGTCAGTTATGATTTTCTCAATGTTAAATATATTTTTATAGCTAAAATTTTATTCATACTAATCCTCTGATTTTCATATTCCCCATATCAAAAGAAGGGGAAAAATGCTACTTTAATTCTAAATCATATCTTTCATTATAAAAGTCTAAATATATCTAAGGGTCATCCATTCTTTTAACCATATTCAAACAAGTACTTAAACATATGATGTCCCCTCTAATAGGTCAAATCTTCTATTTTTTAAATCTAACTCTCGCTTTCTTTCTTTGCTAAGTAGCTTTCCAAGCCAACGCAATTAAATCGCCCAGGAATTTTCTTTCTATTTTTTATGAAAGTTGCTTGGGTGAGGAAGACAGTTTAGGTAGGGTATTTTTGAGGGGAAATTCCACCCATTTATGTTCTTTAAGCAACTCCCATCTTCCTTCTCCCTCAATTTCTCGCGTCATCTTTTGTCTCCCAAATTGTAGCATTTCTTCTGACAGCTTTATATTCCATTCCCCCAAATCTTCTTCCTTGTCATCAGGTGCATCTTGCAAGCTTAAAGGGTAAAGGGTCTTTTGCAATGTCATTGTTATGGGTATGTCTTGCAGTATTTTATTTGTGTATGGTAGTTTATAGTTCCCTTCTTTCATCTCTTCCATCTCTAGGTCCATTTCCTCTGCTTCATCATCCAATCTCTGGTTTATTTGTTCATACTTTGTAGTCGTTGTCTGGGAACTTTCTACTTGTAGATTTAATTTGGAGATTTGCTCATTTATATTATCTAAATTATTTTTAGTCACATTGTGGTTTTTTTTATGTCCTCTTTGTATACAACAATTGTTTGGTGAATTAGTTGTAGCGTAGAGTATATTTCCTTCTGAAAGGTATTTGTTTTTTCTTGAGTCATCATTCCTGGAGATCCTCTAATACAAATGGTCTCCAGCCTTGGTAATTTGTGGACTTCAATTCCCAGAATTCCTCAGCCAGCTTTACTTGCACTGGCAGCTTAGAAGGAGCCGGTTCTTCTGTTCAAAAAAGGTGTGGGAACGCCGTTCCATGCAAACGCCATTCTATGGCAAAAAAAGCACTGGAAATATCAATGAGGAAAATGTACTTGGACTCTCTGGGCAGAGGAAAGCAGAATGGTTTGGGGAAGAAACATCAATAATGTGTGTTGTGCTGATGATATTATACTCTGAGTGCTGAGACAGCCAATGATCTGCAAGCTCTAATAGTAAAATCAAGCAGCCTGATGACAAAAAGGGAGTAAGACTACATATAAAGACCAAACTAATGACAATAGGCAAAGCATCATGCTTAGAACTGCAAAAGAAGACAGTGAAGTGGTGGATGGCTTTTGGGTCTACTATCACTAATAAAAGAAGTAGCAGTAAAGAACTAAGGAGAAACTTCCTGACAGAACAATTAACCAGTGGAACAACCTGCCTCCAGAAGCGGTGAATGCTCCAACACTGGAAGTTTTTAAGAAGAGACTGGACAGCAGGGGGTTGGACTACATGACCTACAAAGTTGATTATTATTATTATTATTATTATTATTATTATTATTATTATTATTAATGATGATGATGATAATAATAATAATAATAATAATAATAATAATAATAATATGCCATCGACTAGACTTGGCTGAATAGAAATGAAAGCTTGAAAAATACATTCAGATGTCAAAGATCAGAGGTGTGCAGATAATGGTTTTCTCTGTGATACTCTATGGAAGTGAAAGTTGGATTTTGAAGAAGCAGGATAGAAACAGCATTGAATGCTTTTCGTATCTGATGATAGAGAAGGCTCCTGAGAATACTATGAATAGCCCAGAAAACAAACAAATGGGTCAGCAGCGATGGATGCATGGCAGGAAAACCTGGAGAATATCCATCTATGTGGTTGCTAAGCGTTGACACTGACCTAGTGGCACATAGTCAATCAATGAGTGTGCCTGGTCTGTGTGGATGAAATGTTCTATTTTCACTTTTATTTCTGCCCTTCCCCTCCTTAAATCCATCTGAAACACATTTGGCCTCACATGTGGTGATGCTTGTTATGACATAAGAGGTAAGATCTCACTCTTGCCCTGTTAGGAGAGACAGATCACGGAAGTCACAAATTATGCCTTCCTTTGCACACTAAAAAGTAAAATGCTGTTCTTAATGTAACTATATGCTAACAAAATGTAAATGATATAACTACATAATTAAAATATAAAAACATGCATAAGAAAAAAAAGAACAAAGAGCTCCCCTCTCCAGTTTAAAATCCAGTGCAGCAACAAATCATGTTAAATGCTAGTTTATGTAAGCAAATGTATTTGTCGGCCAGTAGACAAGACAACCTAAAATGGAAATGAGCCATTAACTGGAAACTTAGAAGTCAAACAAAAAGCTAAGCCCAACCGTATATCATTTGGGACACAGAAAAAGTTCATCTTGAATGTTGTAGGCATTCCATGAAGGATGTGGATTCTCCCAGCTTGAATCAGGCAAGAGAAGGTTTTTAAAAAGTAATTCAACAGCACCTACTCACCAGTCATGGATGGTGCCATTTTCCTTTGTCCTTTATGATCCACAGTACCTTCGTAGGCTACTGTAACATCATAAACTGCATCTAAGTAGCTCTTCATTGAATCAACAGCAACATGAGTGGCCTTCACCCGTGGAGTAAGCACATGTTTCAGTACTGTGAGACCTAACCAAGAGGAAAGGCAGAGTGAAAAAGATTTAACAAGTTGCCCAGGAAAATGGTAACATCTCTAGATCCTGCAGCTGACATGTCTAAAACAAGCCATTGATTCTGATTTTCTCTAGACCCAAGCTAGTGTTTTTATTTTTCTTTCTTATCCTTAAGCAAAATGATCACATATCTACCCAGTATCATGGATCAATTCAGTAAATCATAAGGATAATTCTAAAATGCATTTAAGTTCATGGCATTCACAGCAGTCCGTTAAGCCTCCATATCTCTCTAAGACACACATTTAATTCGCAGAGAAGATACCCAGATGTTCTCTACTCACTGAACAAAAAAGAGCTCTTGTGGTAAAAATATTCTTCAATAACTAATAATCGCAATTGTTTTCCTCATCATGGAACACAAAATATGCATCCAAAGAGTCCAATCTGAACATGATAAATAAGTGACATGTGAATGCAATTTAGTTATAAATCTACAGCCTTCCAAAACTGCAAAGGAATATAAAATATTGTCAGGTGTTGCATCCATGGCACATAAAATTAATTTTGAATCGACTTTATCAACTCCAAGACAGGAAAAAAAACCCATTTTTCCAGTTTTCCACAAAATGTGCTCTTCGAACCCTAACAAGTTTCTTATATATCCTCTTTTATAAACTTCTAGACATTTTATATTTAGTTATTTTTTTTATTTGGAAAATTTATATTGCTGCCTACTTGCTAACTGACTCAAAGCAGCTTACAGGAAATACAGTGTTGTATACAATCTTAACCAGTAAACTGTAACTCAACTCAGACATTCTTTCTTTCAGTCTTTGCTTCCAGAACCTTCTCCTCGTTATCTTTTGTTTCTGCTCCAGAGGGCTATTTTTAACATTCTACCTTGCTTTGACCATTCAGTCATGACACCAGTGTGGTGATTGGGTATTAGAACTGTCTCTCAAAATGGCAATGCAAGGCACCACCTCCCAGCTGAAATTTTGGAAGGCTTGAAAAGAGATTGGCTGGGAGGTATAAGCAGAATAGGTTGGAGAGGATCTCTCAGTCTTAGCCCAAAGAAATTTGCCAACTGTTAGAGTGATAGGTTTAGGAATACAGGTAGGTCTTGATCAGTGCAGTTAATGAATCCTATGAAATGGTCGCCTTCTGTAGCAATATCACTATTCAAAGTGATATTGCTACAGAAAATATGGTAACTGGTTTCACCTTGACAGAAATAGGCAATGCCATTGATCAATGCTATCAGAATCAGGGCAACTGCACTACCCCTATCATAAGGTGGGGCTTTAAAAACATTTGGGAAGAGCAGTAGATCTGACTACCCCCCCCCCCCAAATCCTGGCTCTAACAGCTTGTTGTATGCCACATGACGGTGGATTTCAAGTAAAGCATTTGTAATCTATTGGTTTCACTTTATCTTCACAACTGCTTTAGAGTAGAAAAGTGGGAGAAAACTAGTTTAAATAAATGGAACTCTATCATGCTTGTCTTTTCATCTCAAATCTTCTTTGTTTCTCTTACCTTCCTTATCAGCATATGACTGACTATCTGCAATGACTTTGGGCAGCTCTGGAACATAAAGTGTTCCTTCTGGAAAAATCACAAAGTAAATCTGTGGAATTAAATATATATATAAATGTGTGTGTGTGCGTGTCGGTGTGTACAAACAGTTTTATTAAGTTAAACCATTCAGCCTTAAGACTGAGAACTGAATTACAAGCAAGTTGTAAGACCAAGCTTCAATGAGGTTGCTTTGGTCAAAAGTCTCATTTTAATTCCAGCGCTGCATCATAAAACAATCACTTTGTGCTTCTATCAGTTCTCACAAATGTAATTTGTGAAAGAATGCAGAATTCACCCAGACTTGCTGCACAAAAGCAAAACTCAATTCATTTAACACTACCATCTCATAATGAATTATTTGGACAATAGGACTAAATTGAAACTACTATTCTTTTTGTTTCTTTAATGTCACTCTTATTCTCTTTGCTGTTTAATAAATACAATTATTTATTATATTGTTAATTTTTTATTAATATAAACTTACATTAATAGGTTGCCACTACAGGTAGTCCTTGACTTACAACTGTTTGTTTAGTGATGGTTCAAAGTTACAACTACCTCAGGAAAAGTGACTTACAGACCATCCTTGAAGTTGCAATCAGCATACCGTCCTCATTGTCACATGATCACAATTTGGGCACCTGGCAATTGGCTCACATTTATGACGGTTGCAGCATCTTGTAATTTGTGACAGTTGGGGAAGCTGGATTTGCTTAACGACCATGTGATTGGTGTAATGGCCATGCGATTCTCTTAATAGGAGTAAAATGGTCATAAAATTGGATCTGATCACGTGATGACTTGCTTAAAGACTGCAACATTTAGCAGCCAAAATTTTTATATCAACTGTGGTTGTGAGTCGAGGACTACCTATCCTGTTGCTTAGAGTTGTTTAAAGGAAATATATATATGATCCCTCAACAGAATTATCAGAATATTGAAAAAATGAGTTTCTATAGCGTAATTTTTCTATATAAACAGTTTTGCATCCTAATACCAGAACTTTTCCTGGAAGGTACAGATGTTTATCCTTCCAGCAACCAAACGAAGAGAACTGCTTAAAGCAGCCGCCTCATTTTTTGGAAGGAAAGTCTAAAGCAGCATTCGATTCTGAAAAAAAGGAATTGTCTCTTGAAGTTTACTTTTGTGTCATATAATATCATACGCAAACACATACACACACATACACATGGGGAGAGAGAGAAAGAGAGAGAGAACTTATATACTGTACAAAGTGGAAATAAAGAAGCTTACTGGGGTTTTTGCTTTCATCTGGATATGCAACTTGTTCCTCATTTTCTTTTCATTAAATCTGGCATTTCGTTTCACATACTCTCCACCATGCTAGTATATAAACAAATTGAATATGTTTGTAACTCTGAATGATTCATAAAACAGTATTTTTATACTCAGGAATAAATAAATAAAAATTAAGGTACCAGCATTTTACCTGCTGTAGGGTAAGCAGCTTTCTATGCTCTTAAATTTGCTTTTGCAATGATAGGAACATGCAGACTTTTATGTTTTTATTTTACAATATTATTCCATAAAAAAAAAATAGGAAACAGAAAAATGTAGTTTTTAACCCACAGTTGATTCTATATGGTTGCTAGACAAAAGAATGTTTCTCTAAGTGTGGGAATATGTGCTAAGATTATTAGTATGCCAGAGCTCCAAAGTATTAAGACTATTAAGCAGTGAAAAATTCAGAGAGGTCCAGAATCAACCTATTTCTTTTGTCTCAAAAGTGACGAAAGACCAGCTATAGCAATATGGCCCGTCATTAGGCTGCAGACAGCCGAAGTCAAACTCACCACCAAGCACTTTGAAAGCAACGCGGATGAAACTGGGTGAGATCTGATCTTCTCTTTACCGTAAGTACCTTCTCTTCCTGTAAAAGCTGTTTGAAATATCTTTCCCACTGAGGAGAGAGGGAAGGGAATTTCTATCCCACCCTCTAAGAATAGCGGGGTCTGACTACCCAGGGGAATCAAAGCATTAAAAGAACAATTTTAATCTAATTGGATTTATATGTTCTTGAAACTTGGGGACCAAAAATTTTCCTATTTTTACTGGAGACTCTTGTTTTTATCTACAAAAAAAGAGATAAAATTGGAAAAAGGATTAGAAAAAATTTGGACTTAAAAAACTTTAAATGGCATTGGTGACATCTTATGGTGAAGTTTGTTATTACAACTTGTTATTTCCTAAAAGAGACTTAGATAAGACTTTTCTGACTTTGGCACCACCTGTGAGAGACTTAGCTGTAAGAGAACAGCTGGGCGGCATAACTGGCCTACTTGAACTGTGAATATAAACCTTTACTGACTTTTAGTTATATGTGGGAAATTGCTTTCCTATCTCTTCAGGAATATTGGTCACTATATGAGATGTTGAAATAGCTTGGACTATAAAATCTTGCTTGACAAACAACTTTTACTAGAAAGGCTATTTATAAACATGTGAAAGAGATGGATGAAGATCAGGAAAAGATTCTTTCCATGTTGAAAGCAATACACAAAACCATTCTTTCAGCTTGTGATAAAATAAGACCTAACATAAAAGATCAAGACGCCAGCTCAGATACACAAACCCAAACTTTGACTACAACCAAAGAACTAACAATGCAGAAGACAACAGAAGAAGTGGGACAATCAAATATTAAGACAGAGGACTCAATTGATCAACAAATACAGCTGATGAAAAATCCAGAAAAGGAAGTGGCAACACTGAAAATGACTTACTATATAAATCAGATGAAATCTGAGAAAGAAGAAGAACAGATTGAATGGAAGACAAACATATCAGGGCAAGCATGGGGAACTGGAATAACGGAGACAATTTAACGAATACAAATGGGGTAGTCCTTCCAGAAAACTGGCAATTAAATGGTCTCCTTTATTTCAAATAACATATATAATAATAGAGGGAGATCTATTTGACAATCTAAAAGCATTGATATGGAAGCGTAGTTGGCAAAGGAATAAAGCCAGAATAAGGTTGAAAAAAATTGGGGTTTTGACTTATTAGAGGGGATTTCGTATTATTAATTAGAGGTTAAAGGGAGATGTTGAGATAAGGGGAATTTTGGTCATTAGATTTAAAATACTTGGAAATTAATTGAACATAAGGATTTTATCTGTTTAATATTTAAAAATTAGACCTAAAAGGGAAAAGAAAATTAATTATTATGAATATGTTTGATTTATTGATTAACCCAGGTAATATATATAATGGTTTTGATTTATTAAAGGGGATATTATGTTATTAAGTAGATGATTTAATATGCTGGGAAATAGATAACTTTTAGGAAATAGAACAAGATTACATTCAAATAGATAAAATGTGTATTTTGGATATTATATTTTGTTATGAATTGAGACAAGGGAAATCTTGTTTACCCAAAGTCTGAAAATTATAAATATCAAAGGTTAAAGTGGAATACTTGATGAGAAACTAAAAATTGGGTAAAAATTAATAACAGGATAGGGATTGTTTATGAAGATTGAATGTAATTAAGATATGTATAACCAAAACATTTATTGATAAATGTAATAATGATGTTTTTATTAAATTGATATAACTAGAGCTATACAAGCTTGAATACGAGACAGTAAATGTTAAGGGAAAAAGAGAAAAAATATCTGATGTTGTAACCTGAGATTTGTACTAAAGATTTTGTTATTGAACTATTGATTAATCCAGTCACCACATTGCTTTTTAAATACTTAAATGTAAAATTGGAAAAGTAATAAAATATTTTTTTAAAAAAGTGAGGCTCCATCCAAATTTTAAATACTTACCTAGACAACACAATGGAGGGTAGGGTAGTGACAAGGCATTACCTGTGTCAGACACTGACATTAATGAAATAAATGTTAACATTGATTTCTTACATGGGAATTCTAATTGTGTTTGGTTCAGTGGCTACTTAGCCTGCAAATGATGCCAACTTGCCTGGCTATAATGAATGCCATGTGGTTTACTTCTAAATCAAAGTAAATCTAGTTAGGATTGAAATATTTAGCATTTTTCAGGGCATTAGCAGCACAACGAAAGTATTGTAGCAACTTTAGCCATTTATTATGGCAAAAATATTCACCTTAATTGAATTTCAAATTACGTGATAAGTAGAATTGTCTTCTATTTCTTTTCCTTCAAAATATGCAACAGTAATTCATTGTTAAGATAGAATTACTATATGATTTATTTATAGTTCTTATGCTCTATGCTTCAGCAGGAAAGGAGGCCAAGATCCTTTACTGGGGATGATATTTTACTGAAACTAATGGGATTTACTTCCAAATATTTGCAGAATGAATTGTATCAAAAATAAGCAGTAACTGCTAGCTACTTTATATTACTACAAACCTTTCTGTGAGATGGGTGGCTCTACAATAAATAAAAACCTGCAATGTTTGTAATATTCACATTAATTGAGATCCTTTACTGGGGATGATATTTTACTGAAACTAATGGGATTTCCAAATATTTGCAGAATCAATTGTATAAAAAATAAGCAGTAACTGCTAGCTACTTTACACTACTACAAACTTTTCTGTGAGATGGGTGGCTCTATGATAAATAAAGAGCTGCAATGTTTGTAATATTTTTTTCTCAACTAGCTTGCTATTAATAAATATAATTGTTTTTGTTGTACGCCATCTACAGTATAGTCACTTTTTCCTGAGATGGGCAGCTATATAAATATGATAAACAAACAAACAAATAAAAATACAGAAACAGAAGTAAGTTTTACCTGAGAAATATACCACCCGTACAAAGGAAGCCATTTTAATCTGTCTTTCAAAACATATCGAATATGTCCAAGAGCATTTTGCCTGATGGCCAACATATTTGCTGTAATCCAATCAACTGCAAACCCAGAACACAAATATTTATAAATATAATGCATCCTTGGCATACGCAATGCCAATTCTCTTTCATGAAAACCAAATGCTGCTAAAGAACTGAGCTTTTCAGTTACAAGATAAAATAAGCTCTTTTCAAAATTCTGTTCCTTATCTTTTTAGGCTTTGACCTTTCCATTCTCCATTTATTTCTTAATTTTCAATAGAAAGGTTTTAAATGAATATGATGCTATTTAATTCACTTCACTAAGACTGTCAACTCATTTTAGTATAATACAGAACAAGGTAGATATAAACTGTCATTTTACAAAATGTGCTTTTAAAAGCTGAATTTTAAAAAATGAGGGCTTGTGAGTATAAAGTGGTGTATCAATGAAGGAAAACAAAAAGGAAACTTTTGTGACAAAATCCAACAGTAGTTTTACTGTGGTATAAAGTGCTTCTACTCCCAGAAGAAACATTTTAAAGGGATAATAACCTCAGCAGCTGAAATCCAAAAATATATGAAGCCAAAATCCTTCTACAAGCATGGCGAGGGACTTCATTCACTTAACAATCCATAAGATTGTTTAATCATTACAACAGAGAATGATGAGATTGCGGTTGTCAGTGAAGCAGTGAAGACACATGGGCATCTCATCTCAATGAGTAAAACTCAAGTCTCAATTATAGTTTTTAAGGCAGGACTACTGCATCATTCATCATAATTGTTAACATTATATAAAATTCCTTATAAAGAAACCAGCAATATACAAACCTGTGCTTTGATGATTTGATATATATACCACATTCTCTTTACTTTTTGGCAAATCACCATACAGAATTATCTAGGGAGGGAGAAAAAGTACTTAGTTAGCCTAATTATATAAAAATAAATTTAAAATCAAATGTCAAATTTTATTTTTTCTTTTAAAGAAGAATAATGTTAATTATTCTTAAGATTCCCTTTTCAATCTCAATGCAGCATTGGTCTACTGCTTAAATTATGTGGCATTTTACTCCACATTTAAACACAAGAGTCTGAAACTAAAAAACCAAAGGCGCTGACAGGTTTATTCTATGCTTCAACATAGTTTTAAATTAAAACATTTTAAAAATCATGTCTTCTCTTGCAAAAGTCATGAGGTGTATGCTTTTACAGTTAAGCCACCTTGTACTCCTATTATATTTATTAACAATTCTTAAAGATAGGCTCTTACCGTTACCATATAACTTGGGTATTCAAATTGTCGCCAATGTATAATAAGAACGATTGAAAATGCTAACTCATGTAAAATAAACTGGAATGCCTGATCAGTTCCTCTGTAAGTGGATCAATTAGAATAGCTTAATCTTGTTGCCCTTTAGCACTCTAACCACCCCAAACAAATTTCTAGTTTTTTTCTCATTACAAACATTTTAAAGGGATAATAAACATAACCCAAGAGGAAATGTTGATACAATTCCTATTACAGCCTTCCTCTTGCTGAAACTAAAGGATAGATGTTTGCATGTTGATAAAGAAAATACTATCAAAATAATCCAAATTATCTTTCCCCAAAAGTCAGTTGGTGTTCAGTAATGCTTGAAGCACCAAGCTAGAAACTGGAACTCTGTGCAGTTCAGTGTCCCGATTTCTAGCTTTCCCACCTTAGGTGCAAAGCTAGCTGGGCGACTTTGGACCAGTCCCTCTTTCTCAGGCCTAAGAAGGATGCAACGACAATGCAAAACCTTGCCAAGAAAAGTGCAGGGAAACTCCAGGAGTGAACACTGACTTCAAAGCACATTTTTCTCTCTCTCTCATACACACATTCTCATACATTTCTCACACATTTCTCTCTCTCATACACTCATGCTGTAAGAATTTTTCATACTTTGGCTATAAATAGAAAGATAATGTTGAATGCCAATGGGGGAAAGGGGAAATATTAGAGGAAAGGGACAAGTCCAAAATTATACAGGATAACAGGATGCAGAAACATTTGACCTTTAGATCATTAGTTCCATTCAAACTTACTCTGTGAAGGGACCACCTAACATCTGCCTGAGGGTCTTACTAAAAGGCACACCTGCCTATTGGCAATAGTCCTGAAGTGAGCAGCTGATTCTAAATCAGACATTTCAAACTCGCAACGTCACATGACGTCGCTTGACGTATCGGGCTGGTTTTGCCATTGCCGGCAATGGGGTGGGCGCGGCTTCCACATGATGCGTCCGGCCTGGGGGGCGGCAGTTTGACACCCATGTTCTAAATATTTCTGCCTAAACAGATTTATGGTGTTTCAAATGTTGCTGGTTTTAGTAACACTTATTTTGGAAGAACCATCTTTAAACACCAGGATACTATAATACAGATAGCCCTCAACGTACAACCAGTCACTTAGAGATAACTTAAAGTTACAAAAGACTCCCCCAAATCCACTTACAACTCAGTTTCAAAGTTACAGCTGCTGCAGTCCCCCCCCTCCCCCATACAATTGCTCATTCTTATGACTAACTGCAGGGATGCTACAATGTTCCTCTACCTATTTACCCGCCCCCCATCCCATGAGGTCCCCAGAGGCTTTTGGCCTGCTCCCAAACCAACCACCTCAATCACCCAACTCAGCCTAAATCCAGGTAGCAGAAGCTACCAGCATGCAGGGGGCTATTACAGCTTAAAGGTCTCAGCATGCATCCCACTCCAACACCCAAAGGACTTGGAAGACTCGACCTGCTCCTCAGTCAGCTTCAGGGTCCAGCAACATTCAAGTTAAATTTCTGTTTTTTGCAGAGGCACTCGGCCAATGCGTTGCTAGGATCAGCTTTTCTACAGAGGGTGCCTCATGGCAACCAGGTGCTAGGACGCTCCATTTTTTAAAAAGGCTCCCCAAACAGATGGAGCCTCTCCAAACAAATGGAGCTCCCTGTGCACCAGAACTTCGGCTGCCAGATTTTAGGCTCCCTTGGGTATCTTGAGTGGGAAGCTGGCCAAGGCCTACATCCTGTTAATAGTCCCCTGGGAGTAGGCCAAAGGCATGTGGGGACCCAGAGAAGGGGAACGTAGGCCCAAGGCCTGCAGTGATTCTGAGGGGGAGGGAACAGAGCATAGAGTATCTCAGAGGGTGGGGGAGGCCCAGAGCATGCCAGGACTTCCTCACACCTGAGGCACCCCACAATTTAATGGCTGCATCAGAAATTAGGATTGTAAGTGAGCCGGTCTGGCTTAACAGCTGTGACCACTTGTGACTGTAATGGGAAAGTCCATTATGGTTGTAAGTTGGAGCTTTTAATATCCTCGTTCAGTAGTGGCGAACCTATGGCACGGGTGCCAGAGGCAGCACTCAGAGCCCTCTCTGTGGGCACGCGTGCCGTCGCCCCAGTCCTAGGCCTTCAGCTGGATTTTATAAAACCTTTTTGCTTTAGGCCTCTGCCGTGTGCAAAAAAAAAAAAAGGTTCAATCAATCAGTCAATTTCAACTTCTTGCGGGAAAAAAAAGATCTTGCAAAGTTGGAATTGATTGATTGAACTTTTTAGTCCCACCCAATCTGCCATTACCACCGCAGCCATGCCCACCCAATGGGCCACACCCACCCAATGGCCACACCCATCCGGCACCCGATGATGCATAAGTGGGTTTTCGGTTGCAGTTTGGGTACTTGGTCTCTAAAAGGTTTGCCATTACTGTCCTAGTTGGTAGGGAGAAAATATAGATACAAAGAAAAAAAATAAAAAGAAGCAACAACTCCCATGAAGCATCCTAGTGAGGCTGTGGGACTTTTTTTTTTAAAAAAAATTACCCCACTGTTTTTATTATGAAAATTCAAGGAGGCAAGCATCCATAATATTTTTTCCACCTTCCTCCTCCTTTCCCTACAAGGTATGTTGGGTTGAGAGAGCATGACTGGCCCCAAATTACCCAGCCGGCCTTCATGCCAGAGGAGGGACTAGGATTCACCATCTCCTGGCTTCTAGCTTGGTACCTTAATTACTAGATCAGGGGTAGGCAACCTTGGCTCTTTTATGACTTGTGGACTTCAACTCCCAGAATTCCTGAGCCAGCATGTACAATTTCATGGCATTTAGTTAAATTTATTTAAATAAGTATCACTTGCACCCACAGAGCATGCAAGCCGTTTTTAGAGATTAGCAGTTCATACTACTTCATAATTTAGGTGGGGTTATATCATAATAAAAAAAACAGACTTCTAAATGTATGGGGAAAATGTAAGAAATAGAACCCTTTCCTATACTACATCAGTGATGGCGAACTTTTTAGAGACCGAGTTCCCAAACTGCAATCCCAAACTCACTTATGTATCGCCGGGTGTCTGGTGGGCATGGCCCACTGGATGGGCGTGGCCCACTGGATGGGCGTGGCCCACTGGATGGGCGTGGCCAGCTCAATGTTGCTCCTGGGGAGGGATGCCTGTGTGGCCCGGGCAGGGTTGGGGGAAATCCAGGGGGTCTCTGGCAGTTGGGGCAGTGGGCAGGAGGCTTGTCCTGCAGGGTGAGGCGAGGGAGGGGGCAGTGTGGGGGTTAGGGTTAGGCTGCCACTTTCCCCACAGGACAGAGCACCCCGCCACTGCTCACACCCAGTAGCGAAGGTGGAGTTTGGGAGGCAGCGGCAGGGCATAGCCCAAGTGTGGCCCAGCAGCAGCAGCAAAGCTTGTCCTCCCTATTGTGTAGTGGGTTTTTTGGAGGCATTAACCAGATTGGTTTAATACAATGCTTTTTATTGCAGCAGAAACAGAACAGAGAGTAACCGGCAGCCTGACAGCTATTTATACTTGTCATCTCTAGGCAGCGACCAACTCTGTTTTCCCACTCAAACTTAAACTTAACTTTCCCTCCAAAACGGTTGGAGACACGTTTAAATCAAAACACATTAACTCTTAATATCTGTTCTATCCCAGCCTATTGCCGTCCTTGTTAGAGGCACAAGGACCAAACCCCTGCTGATAAAATAGGCTGGAGACTTTAAAACAAATGTTTTAGGGAAAATAAACCCACTGTTTGGACAGTT